AGTGTCGCCTCAGTCACTAGACAAGGAAAAGAAGATATGAACTGGTTATTTAAATTATATATCTATTAATTTCTATTATTGATTTGCCTATTAAGTGAGTAAAGGGAAACAGCCTTGATTAATATATTTCTTAAAGAGTAAAAAAGACCTTTGGCCTAAAGTCCCCTCCCCTCTCAGACTCTAAGAGCCCTGTCTGGCCTAACACCATTTCTGCTAACAATAGGCCGATGACCCTTATCAATAGTCAGAAGATCTGAGTCACCAGCTTTGGGCAATTATTGGGATATAAGGGAGAAGGCCTTCCCCCCTACCCCAAAGAAAAGAGAGAAGAAAACTTAACTAGGTTTACTTAAAAAGATTAAGAACTCTGTAAGAGATGTCCCTTATTACTTCCTGAGTTTTGGGTGGGGTCTCTTTTTGTTTGCATTGAGGGCTGACTTTCAATAGATTGCAGGGAGGTAGTTGCTCTGCTAGTAGGAAACTCTGACATAGAGGCGGATTTTCTATGAATGGTTTAGCCTTAGGTTCCCCACAAATGTGCTTTGTGTGATGGGCAAGGGGGCTGCCCCTCTTTTTGGCTGTGTCTCAGTTTTCCAGACGAGGTGCTCTTCGCACTGGACTATGGTCTTAATGTGTGGCAGAGAACTTCATTGTTAGTCCAGGTCTCCCAATGGAAAGAGCAAATTACATTAGGCTGACTGTTTATTCCTGTCACTGTGTATGTAGTTAGCATTGGAGAGAGGTCCATGGGATGGGTCAGGACAGAGTAGGTAACTCTAATATCTAGTAAAAATTCGGTTTTTCCTTCCTGCCATGTAGAGGGTGATCTGAGCCTCCACTGTTGTGATCTTGGTGGATTTCTCTAGGACTGGAGGTGGCAAGCGCTTGGGCCTTCATTGTTGAAGAAGAGAGCAGACCCCTTCATGGGAGGCTTGCTATGTGGGGTGAGGGCTTATGAGGTCCACCCCTCCCTGGCTTCCCTGGGCTGGGTGGACATTTGCCCTTCTAGTGCCCTTCCTTCTGCAGTTTGTGCATTGATTATGCCTCAGTCCTGATGATACCACTCACGGCCAACTAAAACTGAGGCCCTCTAGGCCTGCAAGGTTTTTATTCCCTAGGGTCACCTCGAGATGGTCCCTGTATAATGGCAGCTAAAATTGGCGCCCTTTTTGTACTCTGCTTCCTTCTCTGCCCAGTCTCAGTTATTGGACGCCTTAAAGACCTCTGGCACCAAGGCAGCCTGCAGAGTTGGGATCTGGGCCCCAACTTTTGGAGATTCTTTTTAATATTGGGCACAGACCAAATTTTGAAATGTATAGCCAGGAGTGTCTGGCCCTAAGACTTTGGGCCAATGTTATTATATTCTCTAAAAGCCTCAGAAAACTGGTTGAGGCGACATAAAACACAGAAATTATTTTGATGAAGTACAGAACCCTCATTTTCCATTCAGAATACTTTTCCTCAAATCAATAGCAGACCAATAGTCTATGAAACATTAAAACACAATTCTAATTTTGCATTAGCTTACTTTTGACATTTATATTTCCCATCTTGTTTAGCTTAATCACATAAAATTTCCTCTCGAGATTTCTCGTCACAAACCTTCTACCACTTTCCTCATTCCTTCAGTTTACCTCTTCTCACTTATTCAGAAATGACCAACTTTAAGACAAACACCTTTCCTTCAGTTCCTTTTAAAATAGATCTCCATACTTTATACCCTCTGTTATCAAAAACATATTTTCCTTTCCATCATAATTAGAATTCTTAACTGAACCACCATATTACATATAACACAGACAAATATAGGTCAGATGTCATGCACATACTCTTATTTTTTTCCCCATCATCAGTATTTGTAACTTCCTTGAGGGTGCATATCTAGTTTCCTCAGAGGGCGGTGAAATAGATGGGGTTCCAAGAGAACTTGTTTCTCCCTCAGAGTATGAGGGTGAGGAGGGAGAAAATTACTGATTACCGAGATCTCTGGGAAGGCACTCTTATCATTGGGCCAGCTAATAAGTCTGGGTCTTGGTGAAGGAGCATAGAAGCTAAACTTTTACTGGTGCAGCAGTCCTGGCTTGCCCTGGCTTGCTGTTATACCAAGCCACTGGATTAACTTGTTGGTCAATGTTTTCTGGTATATTAGCTGTTTCTTGAAGCATTAAGAGACTGAGGGGTCTACACTTGAGTTGTAATATCGCTCCTAATTTAGTTA